GATGGTACAGTTGCTTTCCCTGAAAAACGATTGGATTAGCATTGTCATTTAAAAACATAATGGGTAAAGAAAGATCAGACCCACACAATCATGTAATAAACCTGGTGCATGGATTCTTGGGCGTTTGTAGTGTCAGGGAGATATTCACATAAGCTGTTGTCTTCTTGCCACTGGTAACATCCACCTTAAAGTTTGTAAATTCTGCCTGTAGGTATCCTTGCCTGGAATGTCTTTATGCAACAAGAATTTGGTGAGCCGGACCCAATCATCCTGCAGATGTTAATTGGCCAGCGCAATCAGCAATGGCAATCACAATGGCAAGATATGAATCACTTACTTGCTGGTGCAGTGGAACAATCTTATGATTCTTTTGCAGCCTGGTTACCTGCTGGCAGAAGTGCTCCTGGCAGCCTGTTAACTTCCCCAGAACTTCCTTACAATTGGTACAATCAAAAACTTTCATATACGCTCTGATGAATCTGTTTTTCTGGGCAGCAGAAAAATCTACAAGTTGCCTAACAAGTGTGTTGTGTTCCGCTGGTAGAAGTTGAGCCTTTTTGATTTGCTTCATCAAAGTCTTGGAGTGGGAAAAGTAATGCTCTTTGGATAGCCCATGGATTTCCATCTATGCAACATTGAGTGGTACATTGAAGTCGTCATGAGATACCCATTGGCCAAAAAATTGTAAGTCACATTGGATAAGAGGCCACCACTGTAAACCCCACGGTCAATCTCACACATCAAAAGCTGGTCCACCATCCATTAAGTTTGGATTGTCATGTGGATATCCGTTATCATATAAGATGGCTTTATCATCCTCAGTCCCAGCCTGGAATTCAAAATATTTGAGCATTTTCAAAACAGTGAGAGAGAACCAGGCAGATCTTCACTCACTTTTCCCAATGGATCATCTCCAAAAGGAAACTGTCTACGACGCCTGGTATCTTCTTCTCTGGGATCACCCCAGCAGCTTGCGCCGGTAGTACACAGTACAGTGCAGGTTTCCCAACGCCAGACAAATCCTGGACAATGGTATGATTTTGTGCGTTCCGGCAGGGGCTTGACCAACCTGGAATGGTGAGGAAATTGAGGTGAGTCCTATGATCTCCAGAATGCCAAATGATGCCCCATCCTGAGGGGATGTGCTTGTTGTAGAACTTAAAGCTCAACAAGAGCTTAAAGAGCTTAAAGAGGGATAATCTACTAGTATAACTAACCAATAGAAGTTGCCTAAGAGCCCGTTCACTTAAGCGTGATTTCTTGAAATTGCTTTCAGGGACAGGGCTTTTCTACATGTAGAAAAGTCCTTTTTTAAAAAAGCGTTGAAAATCATGTTTTGTGAAAAAAGAGGGAAACGAGAGAAAAGAGAGATTGAAAAGCGTTTGGTTTGTTGACCATCGAAAATCGATTTTCGACTTGTTGGCCATCGAAAATCGATTTTCGACTTGGGTCATCTCGATTGTTCTCAACTTTCTCTGATTCTACATCTCATTCTCAAACTCATTGATTTTGGCTTTGATTTCGAGTTCAAGTTCAATGGGACTACTTCGACTTTGTCGCCGCTGCCATCTGATTGTGGCATATTGAGTGGTTGAGTCAAGTGGTTGAGTCGAGTGAGCGAAGATTTGGGAAGAATAGGGAAGAATAGGGAAGAATAGGGAAGCCAAGCGAAGATTAGAGAAGGGTAGAATTGACAATCCGTACGTTAGACGGGGACTTGTCCAAATTTGGACAAATGGTAAGTTAAAGAGGAAATCACATAAATGCGATTTTCAAGGGGAAAAATGCGCTAATAGCGAATTCTTGGAATGTTCCAGAAAATCGCTTTTTATGAGCATTTTCTGAATTTTAAAATGCTTGTATTTAAAAAATCAAACACATTCTGAGAAATCACATTTCTTGACATTCAAGAAAGCGATTTCACACAAAAAAGAGCTTAAGTGAACGCGCTCTAAGACTGCCTCTTTGAAAGAACCAACATGGGGATTTGTTGAATTATTTAGGATAAGGCACCAGAGAGATTGTTTATCAATACTTAGTTCAAGTATTATTCCCGTGTATTTTTAGAATAAAAGAAATCTCAACACTGCTATAGTGTTATTCCAATCTGAGCACAACAAAACAAACTTTTTGATTACTAGCAAGCAACAATCAATTAGATTGTTATTCCAAAGAAGACTTGTAGTCTTATCACGTGTAAAGAAATTTCTCCATTGATATAAAGGGGCTATTTAGTGAACTTAGTACTGCTAAAGTAATTTAATAATGATTAAAGACACTTTAACAAAAGTATAAGATGAGTAAAAAGGGGAACAAAGACACATAAAATCCCTCACAATAGTATATAACACTCCAACAATTCCCAACAATGGTCAACAGCCTCCAAAACCCTCCAAAACGGCCAAAAAACCAACAAAAATCCTCAATGTAACCATATGATGTCATTATTATTATTGTTTGTAATGATCTGAGGTGTGAATTTGATCAATTGGTGTTAAAAAATGATGAACAGATCTTCTTATGATGAATACAGGTGATTTTTTCTCAATATTCATAGCTGAAATCCATTTTTGGAATTACAAATTTTTTGTCAAGTTGTTCAATTCTGGATTACTATGGCTCATTTTATAGCCCTCGTGATACTGACCATTTATCAACCCCATATGACCTATTTCTGATGTGTGATGAATAAGTTATTTAGTTGTAGAGATTGAGAAAATAAGCTTTTGTCATGTAAATGTTGCATTACAGGTGTATGTATACGCCAAATTCGAAATTCACTCCATTTTCTTTGTTTCCTTATAACTTCTTCACTACTCCTCCTTTACTAGTGGTTTAAGGGTGCACATTTTGAAACAGATGATTCTGCGTCGAATGACCTATCACACACCCAATTCTGATAAGTTTTGACATATGTAATCAACTGAAAACCTCCAATTTTGATGAAATTTGACCATTTTCACGTCTAATAATGATTTCTCTTCTATCAAAAGATCACCCTACATCATTCCAATCATCCATATAACTCTAAAATCATTCTGAAAAACTCTTGGCGCAATCAATCCTTCAATGACATCACTACACAGGAATTAATACCATAGTACCCTTTTTTGAAATACCCTCTTTCTTGAATAATTTCACGCCTCCCTTATCAATCTCTGTGATCAAAGTTGCTGATGACTAATGTTATACTTCTCTTTCATAATAAAACCTTCCTGAACCAATAACCTTCATAATAATAACTTGAAAACCATTTTCCAATTCCTCATACCCATATTTTCAAGTTTTCCTTCAACTTTGCTGATGTTGTCCTTCTTCTTTCATTCTTTTCATAACAGTTTTCATCCTTTTCAAAAAAGTTTCCATTCTTTAAGACCCAAACTAAATTTTCTTCTTCATCCAATCCTTCCTTACTAATTCTCTTGATTTAATTTTCACTCTTATACTATTTTTATAGATCTTTTCAAATTTTTCTTTTCTCTTAAATGTTCTTATCAAATGATGTAATAAATATATAATTAAAAAGATAATGAGTTGATGATTATAAATCAAATATGAGACCCTTGATGACTAACAAGCTCAATAATAACTTTGACTTTGACCAAAAATACAAATTTCTAAATAATTTTTAATTTTCTTGCTTAAGTAGAGATCCTACTCACCACATTGTCCAAATGGTAGATCATGTCTTCACATGCAACATGCCCAACCGATTTGGAGCAGTAGGCTCCTGGGCATATTTTAGGTCTGTCGAGGGAGTAGCAAGGATAAAACTCATAAACAGTGAGTTGTTCATATACTAGAATAAATATGGATACTCATTACATGTTTCTAAAATTTTATTCTGAATTAAGGGCGGTGAAGTATGGGGTAGAAGGGTCATTCAATTGGTTCACGTCTGTTGGGTGGGAAAGGATGGTCTGTGGCTTTAGCCCAGACCCAGCGGTTTGCAAATTCCCAGGTGGCGTTGCAGAAATGGATACTGCAAACACATGAGATGACGACGATGCCCATATAATTCACGAGATAATGGGATATTTATTCAGTATATCTGAGGTGCAATACATATTGCGCACCAAGCCAATGCTAATCCCAGAAATCTGAAGTAAATGCCCACCCTTGTACCCCCATGAGCCATTGGGTTCACTCTTGTCGGCAGGTGGAGCTTCAGAGCCAAGCCGGTCCGACAGGTTGCCATTAGATAAAACCAACATACGGTCATCAGGCTCTTCTCGCGATAGCTACAGTGGCACCGAGCTGATAGGGTCCGGTAATCACCCGGCATACCCTGAGCGGCTGGATCGGAGGTCATAACGCATACGGTCCAGTGATAGCCAGTAGTTGGTTCATGGGGGGATCATCCCTACATGAGAACTTCGCGTGACGTCAAGCTAGAGTCATGACTTTTATGGTGTCAGATGATACATAATTGTCCTCACACTGATTTCTCTTTTTCTGTACATAATAGAGCTTAAACGTCAAATTTGGGGCACATCCTGGCACATCGCATCTTGTGATCCATCCGGCTCACCAAACCGGTGTTAAGCTAACCAAACCGGCCTGAGTTAACAACCGCGGAGCTGATCTTCAACTTGGTCTTTTAGCTTGCTGATCCTTTTAGCCACACATGGTCATGAATGAATCGAGGATGTAGATCAGAATTGGGCAAGTTATTAGCGGTGCTCTCAACATAAGGAGCAACTGGATCGTTCGTAATGTATAGAAAAACTCCGATAGCCGCTCTCTTCGATTCTGGGATCCCGATCCTCCAATTTCAACTCTATACTTGGGTTCGTTAGGTCCGCATCCTTCACGCAATCATACGACTGTTGGCATGGATCGCAAGCAGCTCCAAATTTTTCGGATGTATAAAGACGGCGCCTTCGTATGATGAAGGTTTGTAATCACACCCATATAACTTTTTCTCATCACTCATAGGACTCTCAAACATCATACAAACAGATTTCAACTTTGACAACTTGATTCAAGGGAAAACAAACATGGCCCAGACGGACCCAGCGTTTGCCCCAGCTTCGACTCGAGCAAAGCTCGTCGGTATTTGCATGGCAGTCTTTGCAGCGTTTGGAGGGTAAGTTTTGATTCATGGTTATTAATCAAGACAACTTGCTGACAACGCATTCTTTGTGCATCTTCACAGTATCTTATATGGATATGATACCGTATGTCCTCAAATAATCCAATGACAGCTGTCTAGGTACTCATTTTCAGCTTATGGCGCGGTTTATTCTAGGGTTATATCTCAGGAATAAAAGAAATGGAATATTGGTATGTGTTGATCGAGTTATATTCAAAAAATATCATTTATGTCACCGAGCACGAAAGAGAAATTGCCGCACACGAGTAAAACATCAACTGATGCCTTGTGCTCCTTCTAGGCTCCGGACATTTGGAGAACAAGATGAATCTGGAACCTATGTGGTCAGTGGATCTACAAGGTTTTGCCCCCCTGATCAATGAACGTTGAAGATTGACCCCTTGGATCGTTTTGAAACAGCTCTCAACGGCGAGTAATTCACTTGTTACCTCCATCCTGTCGGTTGGAACCTTTGCCGGAGCATTATTAGCTTCTCCCTTGGGAGACATCCGTACGACCTACTCTTCTGAATCTGATCATCATCTTGGAATTCTGACAAGTTTCCCCTTCTTCATTTTTCAGTTGGTCGACGATGGGGAGTCATCTTATCATGCGCAATTATCGGTGTGGGTGTCACGCTACAAGCTACTGCTAGCACTATCACCATTTTTGCTGTTGGAAGGGTCTTTTCTGGGATGGGCGTCGGATTGACATCTTGTTTAGTACCGATGTACCAATCCGAATGTGCCCCGTATGTCGTCATCCATCCTCTCTTATATCTGATCTTCAATCGCTATTCTGACGTGGTTATTGGTCATTATGATTCCAGAAAATGGATCCGAGGTGCCATCGTGGCTTGCTATGTATGTTATCCCAAGACAACCATAGACTTCACCATCTCGAGACTTACTGTCATACCCCACTCATATCTGCTTGGTCTGATTACGTTGTACAGCAATTGGCCATCACAATCGGATTGTTGATTGGTGCCTTGATGGTCAATGCTACAAAAGACCGACCGGACATGAGCTCGTTCCGGATCCCAATTGTTCTTCAAGTTGAGTCACCATTTTCTCTCCAAGTGACTTTGCCTGCGACCGAATCAAATAAAGTTGTGGTTGTGTATGAGGAGATACCTAATTAATCATCTCAATTTAACAACAGTCTGGTTGGACTACCATTCTCGCTGTTGGACTCTTCTGTCTTCCAGAATCCCCCAAATTCTTGATTCTGAAAGGAAAAGAAGAGCAAGCTAGAGCATCTCTAGCTCGATTGTTATCCCTCCCTATAGACTCACCACAAGTTTCGAGAGAGTATAACGAAGTGGCAGATTCATTGGTGATTGAACGAACAATGGCAACTGGAACTTATGCAGATTGTTTCAAATCGGGAAAAGGAAGGTATCGACTGAGAACATTGTCAGGAATGGCCATTCAAATGCTTCAGCAAGCCTCCGGGTATGTACATCTCCTCACCTGTTGGTATCTTGTCAGGAAAACGGAATTGAAAGACTCATTCTGTATTTTTTCTGATTAGGATCAACTTTATCATCTATTATGGAACTTCGTTAAGTCCGATTCCAATGTGATCATTCTTTTAGCCTTTAACTAATCACAAACATTGTCAACTTATAGGTTCTTCAAGAACAGTAACCTCAAGAATCCATTCATTATCACCATCATCATCACTAGCGTATGTTCATTTTTAATTTTCTCACGTTGGAATTGATGAAGAAATCGAAATTTTTACTAAACTCTCTGAAGGTTCCTTGCGCCATTTAGGTGAATGTGGCCATGACATTTCCAGGAATTTGGGCCGTAGATCGGATCGGTCGTAGAGGTCTACTCTTGTTGGGTGCAGTTGAGTCACGAGTTCATCTTCGATAGAATGCGATACATACTGACAGAATTGAATAGGTGGTGATGTTTGTGTGTGAATTGTTGATCGCCATCCTAGGAATAATCCTACCATCAACAGACTTATCTGGACAATATGCCCTCATCGCACTTGTGTGTATCTTCATTGGAGGATTTGCAGCTACTTGGGTCAGTCCCAAGATTATTTGCCTAGATCACTGTAACTCTAGTTCTTAATACAGTTCTTTTGTTACGTGAACTCTCGATATAGGGCCCTCTTGTGTGGTAAGCTCTTCTGCTACTTAAGTCATTTGATGATGATTTTGATGACTGATGGGTGATTTCTCATAACTCTGTTTGTCTTTTAGGGTTGTGACTAGTGAGATATTCCCATTGGCAATCAGAGCAAAAGCTATGTCTCTTTCGACAGCAGCCAGTTGGGCAATGTTAGCCAGTTTTTGCTATAGTGTTTCTTCCGTGCGCTACATAAACTGACGTTTTTATTGCGACTTTGTGTTGACTTCTTCAGAAACTTTGCCATTGGATATGCAACACCATTCATGGTCGACGATGGGCCAGGGAAGGCAGGCTTAGGTTCCCGAGTATTCTTTATCTGGTCAAGCTGCTGCCTTCTTGGTGTGGTCTTCACCTTTTTCTGGTGAGTAACGAAACTTTTCAATTCAACCATCAATTCTGTCAAACTGATGAAGATGCTCGCTCCTTCTTTTCTGACAAAAGTATTCCGGAAACGAAAGGCTTGTCACTCGAGCAGGTTGATGATGTTTATCAAAACAGTTCCATCATTGGTTCTGATCGCTACCGTCGACGGTTATTGGCTGCTGGAAGTGCAGTCATGAACAGTCAGGACACAGTGGTAGCGCCTGATTCTAACATGAAACAATCGGACAAAAGCAATTTGCCAAAGTAAAAGTAACCTTACCACGTCTATTCTCTTCTCCTTCAATCCACTTGAACTTTCAACAAGCTTTGATCGAAAAAAATTGTTCATGATTTTCATGTCTTATCATTCTGAGGCTACAGGATTGTAATTATTCTTTTTAGTACGGCTTTTTTGCTACTCTGTACCGGGTAATTGTCAAGTTAAAAATGTCATAAGAGCTCATGTGAATCTTTCTTTTCAAAAAAATGTTCCACTTTTTCTTGCATTTAATTTAACCAGATATCTTGACGATATTTTTTACTTTTCTTTTCACTGTGAATTTTGTTAAAGAATATTTTTATCCAAACAACAAGGAAATTGCGCCAATGTATGGTCTCGAATAAAATATAATCACGTCTAATTATTTCCTTGTGTGTAGGATGATGTGCACTTTGTATGATGTATCTATCATGGATGATACATCGAAAATTCTTGGAGTGCAATAAGATGCGAAAATAATAGCGGTGATGACATCACTTTTTGAAAAGAGTAAGTCATTAAACTCAACAAATTCATCCAATATTACGAGACTTGTAGAGATGAGTCCTGATGCTGTGAGTCTTGTACATTTCTCAAATGTGATCGGCATTTCCGATCATAGATCGCATTCAGAACGAACCTCTCAAGAAAAGCAGAAGAAGTTGACCAATAAAGTGACTTAAGACAGAGGTACCCGGGCTGTGGAAAGAATCAAATCTAATCACGCTGGGCAGACTCAGAGGATTCAGGGGATCACAAGACTAACATTGTACACACAAACGGGGCACAAACGGGGCTGCCGATAGTTGTAGGCAATGCTACGAAATAATTATATCGTGCCCTGTGCTTTCTTGTAGGGTCATATAAAAACTGCTGCATATTTGTCAGTGCCGAAAGAAAGTTCCCCCATCGGAGACTCCAGGGACAGAGCTTTCCAGGATTCAAATCAAGATCCATCCTTCCGCGTATCCATATACATGAATGATCACTGACCAAAAAACTCAAGAAATTCCAAGCTCAGAAGGTTTTCCTATTAAAACTCTCATGATGTGAAAACCATCACAATCCCAAGAACCTATCCTTGAGATTTACGCTCTCAGTGAACGATCAACTTTGATACTGGATTTCAATAACAACGAAAATTATGCTGATGATACAAATTAAAGGTATTGACGAAACAAAACTTTGCCCAATTATTAAAAGTATGCTCGAGTATTCTGCGGTCATCATATGACTTGATTGACCGGATCAACATCTTTGAAATTATCATTCCTAACTTCATCGGCGTCAGTTCCTTCTGATCTCTGTCCTTCTCCCGATAGGAGTTGTTGACGGTAGCGATTGGATCCGAGGATCGAAGAGTTTTGGTAAAGATCATCAACTTGTTCAAGTGACAATCCTTTCGTTTCCGGAATGCTATCAGGGGCAAGGTTGGGTTAAACACAGGACTGATATCAGTATTTAGAAAAGATTCTTCTCGAGAGATTCTGAGACGTACAAGAAAAAGGTGAAGACAAAACAGATGCCACAGAAAGCTCCCCATATCCAAAAGACATTTGACTTTAGTCCTGCCTTGCCGGGTCCGACGTCTACAAGATAGGGTGTCATATAACCAATCGCAAAGTTCCTGTGGTGCGAGCGAACATCAGTTTCCGTTCGATTGTAGAGAATGGAGTCAGGACTGAGCTCACAATGCCCAATTAGACGCTGTGGAGAGAGACATGGCTTTGGCCCTGATAGCCAAAGGATAGATCTCAGATGTGACAACCCTGTCAAAAAGATCGGACCAGAGTTATTGATATACTTTTCTCGGAGTAAAGAGGTATAAAGGGATTACCATGCGATTGGGCCCTGAAAAATGCCGAATATAAGAGGTAGAAGCCATCAGATCGGAGTTCAAAAACAGATTGATGGAGGATGAGAGATAGGCACTAACCCAAGTAGATGCGAAGCCTCCGATATATATACACACAAGAGCAATCAAAGCACGTTGGGCATCAAGATTACTTGTAGGTAAGGTGATCCCAAGGATGGGTACAATGAACTGGCAAATAGCCATCAAAGCCTGAAAGATAAACATAGAGCCTATGAGTACGCGCTGGGGGTTAATGAGGCAATGAGTGATGAAAGAACTCAAACGGCTCCGAATAAGAGGCAAGACCTCCTGCCAACCCTATCAACAGCCCAAATCCCGGGAACAGTCATAACTACATTGACCTAAAAACGGCAGGAAATCTGATCAGAAGGGGTTATTTATACACTTTGAGGTGAGCAAAAGCACTGACGACGTTGATAATGACCGTAATTGTGAACGGGTTCTTGATGTTGCTGTTCTTGAAGAATCTATATGATGAATCGATTCCAAATAATTTTCTGTGAGTTTCCGCTCGTCATTTTTCCAACTCATCTATACATATATATATATATATATATAGCTGTGGAAAAGACAGGAGGCAGAGAGAAAGTCCACTCAACGAGGTTCCGTAATAAATAATGAAGTTGATACTGTGAAGTTGGTTACAATAAATAAAACGATTGTATCAATATGGAGAGAATCTTCATGAGATCCGCAAAGATAAAGAAGACGGACCCAGTAAGCTGTTGAAGAGCTTGAACTGCCATCCCAGATAGCGTTCTAAGACGATATCTACCCTTACCAGATCTGAAACAATCGGCATAAGAGCCAGATCCTCGTGTACGTTCGATTTCTAATGAATCTACTACTTCGTCATATTCTCTTATAACTTGTTGAGAGTCGGCTGGTAAGGAGAGTAATCGACTCAAGGAAGCCTTGGCTTCTACTTCTCTGCCTTTCAGAATCAAGAACTTTGGAGACTCTGGTAGACAATAGAGTCCAAGGGCAAGGATAAATGCCCAGATGAACTGTTCAGAAGGAAGGTATTCAAGGGGTCAGCATGCCATGTATTCATGAGGTGGGTCGGGGAATCAAAGCATCACTCAACTTGAAGAGCAATTGGAATTTGATAACAGCTTGCATTTGGTCGATCTTTAGTTACGTTGACCACTATAGCCGCGATTAATAATCCTATGGTGATGGCCCATTGCTGTTGAAACACAAAAGTAACACTCAGAATAATTTGCACAGTAGAGCGATGAAGGGCACACTCACGTAAGCAGCTACCACCGCCCCCCGAATCCATTTACTGTAAAGAATCCATCGAAACCGTTCCAATCAGTCAGTATCACGAGGCTCAAGATAGGAACAAAGCTAAAGGGAGGAGACTTACGGGGCACATTCAGATTGATACATGGGCACTAAGCAAGAAGTTAAACCAACTCCCAATCCAGCGAAAACTCTACCAACCGCAAAAATCGGAATGGTAGTAGAAGCAGTTTGGAGCGCAACACCTATACAGAATATAGCGCATGAAGCGATTACGCCCCAACGTCTACCAACTATTCAACAAAGGTGATTAGCCAGGTTAATATTTTGATGTTGCCTTGAGAGAACATAGATCAAGAGAGGTACTCAACGTATATCACCAAAGGGATAGGCAAGTAATGCTCCCACAAAAGTACCTGCCGAGAGGATAGAGGTGACTAGGGAATCGTTCGCGGTACTAAGCTAGAATATTCATAGGATAGATTGTACTAGTGAGCATATTTTGACAGAATGTGGCAGTCGGGTCATGATGAAAGACTGACTATATATTCTCCTTTTGCATTCTTTTCTCCGAACGTTTCAAGCCTTGTGGTGATTGGCAGGTCGAAAAGGAAGCTTTAGTCCCTTCCATGCGATTGGGTGCCGGTGTGTACAAATGAATAGAGCGCTTTCAGTATTGGAGACTTACCAGTATGGCATTTCTTTGGTGCCTGAGATATAACCCTACATCGTTCCACAGTAGACACGCATCCCCAAAATGAGTTTAGTTGGAACTTGATAATCATTGGTCCGATGACGAAAAGGCTTTAACGCACCGTATCATATCCGTAGAGATAACTATGTATAGAATGAAATCGAATAAGAATAGATAAAAACTCAGAGCAAGAAAACAGATTTTCAATATATATATATAGACGAACCCTCCGAAGGCTGCGAAAAGTGCCATTGAGATCCCAACAAGTTTAGCTTTCGTAGAAGCTGGTGGTAGAACAGGTAAACCACCTGGACTTTTTCCAATGTCCATTCCTACCATGTTGTGCTTGTTATGTTGTGAAAGAGGATTTGTCCGAGTTTCTATGTAGTGATGATATGTGAGGGTTGAATTAAGGACTTGATCAACAAGTGATGTGGATGTGGGATGAGAGGAGGTGATATTGCTGGAGGACAAGGCAGTATTTATCTATTGGCTGTGTGCGATAAGTTAGATGGATCAACAACTTTTAGAAATGAAAAGTTGTAGAATGAGCGCGTGAGTGGTGGGATGTACCACTTCCGTGATAGAGAAAAAGATATGAATGGTCTTCGTTCCCAATATAGTAATAATCGTAAGGCGCATCGACCGGAACCGATGACAATCTTCTCCTTCCCTCCCTGGGCTTGTTCTACATACATACACACACTCTCAAATTGTTCTCTCCCGGTCGCCCACTCATATATTCGAGAAGACGAATCATCAGCTGACCGTCCCCGCCGTTTTCCATGGCAGCGAGGTGAAACGAGAGAGGCGAACGCTGGGAATGTGGCGGCTTGTATGTACAGTGGAATCCCATCATTGGGTTCACATACGTTCCATGACCAGGTTTGTACATATGTACAAGTCCACCCTTGGTCACGAGCATAAATCCTCATAAATAAATCCCAGTAGGGCCGTGAGTAGGATCTATGTAGGGCGGGCGCGGCATCGCCCAAACTCAAGGGGTCGCCGCGTCATGACCGATGGCTCCAAGAATCCACCGTGGAACATACTTTTAAGTTTTCATCCTCTATGCCTTACCAGTGGCAGGAGTCCGATGAAGGGAAGGACAACGGGTTGAACGAAGATTCTGAACTTGGATGCGGAGCCACAAGATCCCGATGTGCGACAGCCTTCAGGAGCTGCCCCCTCTAGATTCCCTTGACGATGACACTTCGTTGATGGACGCACCAGCTCGCCAACTATACATTGTATAAGCCTGCGAAGTTTTGCAGAACCTTACTCAGGCTGAGCTCCGGCCCCGGAGCTCCGTCGAGTATCCGACGGAGCATCCGTCGAGTCCTGTTTTCGGATGAGGCCTTGGAGCCATCCGGCGCCGGATACTCCGGCCGGTTCGGTAGTCGAACGTTGAGGTCAAAAAAGTCGATATCCGCCGGATATCCGGCGGATATTTGACATATTTGCAAGCGTGTATTGCCGTGTATTGAAAATTAAAATAGAAGAAAAAAACATTACAAAACCGTGTATTCAAAAATTTGTAGAAGAAAAAAACTACAAAACCGTGTATTTGAAAATTTGTAGAAGAAAAAACCAAGAGAAAGAAAAAGAGAAATACAAGACAAGTGATGAGAAGACTAATCTTCATCACTGTCAGTGATAGTAGTAATTTTTAAAGGCCCAAACAACTGGCACCAATCCTTCACACATAAAAGAGTCTCCACATGGAGACTCAAGAGGCTAGTCCGCTGAGGACTCAATATCCTTTTAGTTTTGTTAAATTGACCCTCTGACGGACAGCTAGTTGCTGGGATCGCCAAAAACACCTTTGCCATGTTGGATAAACCGGGATAAATGTTAACTCGCTGTTTCCAAAAGTCTAAAACATCCTTGTTGCGGGGCTCTGGCTTATTGCCAAGATATTGAGCAATTTCGTTGGCAATGGAGTGTGTCTGTGGGAGGTCTCTAGCGCCGAATATTGCTTCTTTGAAATATGCAGAAGTTGCTGTCCCAGGCGTCTTTCTTTTAATGGATTCTGAAATTATGATGGGTTCATCGGTTTTGTATTTTTGGGCCTCTTGTTCAAACATTGACCTGATGTCGGATATGTAGATATTGTACTCGGGGAAGGTCTCAGCTCGTTCCTTTTTGTGCCCACAAACATTGATCAATAAATATTTAGAAGACATTGATTTAAACAGACTCACTTGAAAGTAATGTAACTTGTGACACGGATCAAGGATGGTAGCACATATCGGTGCGGGCTTGGCAAGCACCTTCTTGAAGTAATTTTCGAGTTTATCAATCATCTTTTTGGAAGCAGGGGCTAGTTGATTGTGATTGTATTGTTGAACAGTCTATACATAGACCATGTCAAAGAAATCAGCCATGAAAAATAAGATTCAGCAGGATTGTTACTTACAGATTTTAATCCTTTCAACACAACTATATAAATTGGAACTACTTGATGAAAAGTTGGGAACTTCAGTTTACAAAGGATTTCAGTCGCTTCGCTGAGTGGATCCAAAAAGTCACCCATCTGCTTGACATACTTCCATTCAAGGTTTGTCAGAGCGAACTTCTGGAAGTCGCGACCCTTGCAGAATTTGTCACATGACTCTTGTAGAAGTAGCAGTCTCCGGAACATGAGGTAAGAAGAATTCCACCTCATGGGAACATCAACAATGAGCTTAGTCGTGGCCGTGGTGCCTTCATGTCAGGGTGGCACTTACTTAATCAGCTAAGGGTAAGGACCGTAGCTAGCAATCCTGACAAACAACTCTATTGGTTACGTAGGGTTGATAGTATCTGTCGTAATTCCTAAAGGAATAACAGAAGTACTAATAAGTTTTGAACAATTGATAGTAATCCGATTCGAAGTGAAGGGATCAGAAAAAGAGCAATGGCCTACTGCGGTTCGCAGAGTTGAACTGGTCAGGTTCTAGACCAAAGTTTTTCTCCGAGATAAAGGACGTTTATCAAAGAGTAGCCTGGGTTACTAGGACCTCAGGGATCTTGTCAACTATGCGTTGCAAGAACAATGGTACTAGACCAGGTAGAGTTTTACTGTCTCGAAACAGGGGCAGTAAAGGATGGAAAAGGAGATTGTGGGTAAGACTTACTCTAGTGTTAAGAGCTAATCTAATGAACACTTCCTGGAACTTTGGACAAGGGTTTTTTGGCAAGAGGAACTACTTTATCGTGATTTGATGGTAGCTGGACTGCGAAAAGATGGGTCTCGAAGTTTACTTGGAAGACAATGTGCTGCCCTCTTCTATTTCAGGGCAAGTCCTTTCTTTATATGCTTGATCTAGAACTCCGGCTTACTTGTGGTTCTAGCCGCATTGTTGTCTGTAGTTCCCAATCTGGACGCTTCAGTAGGCTGACTCGTGGTTTGGCCAGATTGGGAAGTTATTGAATCAGAGGTTGGTCTCCTCGTGGTTCGTCCTGCTAGTTTCTTAACACTCGGGTTCTTGCTACCGGATTTTTTTAGAATGTAACGCCTAGTCTTGTTGCCAGGATGGATTAGTGTGTATCCTTCCTGGCCTCATACTTATGGATGCTTCCTGATGATTAGGCTTCCTTTGATATCGGGAGTACAATGTGTTTATATTGGGTTACCTTTGATACTAGGTACACGATGTTGTTGTTTTTTTATTATGGTAGAGAGAAAATATGTTTTATGTTTTTTATTTTATTTTTAGATTGTAGCCTCTTTGGCTTCTGGTTGGTCAGAGCTCGGGGGCTGACATTCCCCAACCACAGGAAAATGTTCCCTCCGAAACGTGATCATGCGTTTCCTAGGGATCTTTTTTCTACTCTGAATTTTCGTAGAAGTGCTGTTGAATTTGGGATGTCTTTGACTTCCAACCATTTGTCCTCGTCTGCGCTTCCTCCTTTGATTCTTGCTAGGTATAGACGCGTCTCTTTTCCTTGAATTCGCACCATTTTTTCGTTGATAATCTTCTTAATAGCGCCAATGGGTTCGTCTTGCACTGGAAGATCCTCTTCTGGCGGTGCTGGTCTATTTGGAAATTCCTTGGCGTCAGATTTCTCGTACTTCTTTAGTAACGATACAGGGAAAACCGGGTGTTTCCTCGCTATGCTTCCCGTTAGGATGACTTCCACTGCATTGTTACCGTGGAGGGCTTTAACTACGTACGGACCTACAAAGGCATCAACCATTTTCCTGGGACCTTTCAAGTTTGTGAAGTTAATGGTTGATATAAGAACCAAGTCTCCTATTTGAAATTCGGGTTCTCAGTGGGTTTTATCCCATCTCTGCTTATTATATTCCGCGGCGGCTTTAATGCATTCCATGGCATGTTTTCTTGCTTTGTTAAGCATGTTGTTGAAGCTCACAGCTGTTGGGTGAAATGTTGAATCTCCTCTCTGGATCAGGTTTCTCGGAGTTCTAACGTTGTACCCTCTCTCGACTTCGAAGGGTGTTTTACCCGTGGTACTATGGGTGCTTGAGTTATACGCAATTTCTAGTGCCGGTAGCAGGCTCTTCCAATTGTGGGTATAGCCGTCCTTATCCTTGAACTCGAGACCGTACGCGCAGTACCTTCTGATGAGTTCCGATAAGTTTCCAATCGCTCTTTCTGCTAAGCCGTCCGTTTGCGGATGGTACGCTGTGGACATGGCCAAAGAAGTTCCACAGAGCTTATGTAGGCTTCGCCAGAAGTCTGATGTGAACTTGGGGTCCCTGTCGCTAATAATCACTCGAGGGAGACCCGAGTCCGTCACTATTCTTTCCCAGAAGAGGAGCGCAATGTCCATGGCCGTGGCATCCTTATGGCATGGTAGAAATCTACACCTTTTAGAGAATCTGTCTACGATAACGAGGACGCAATCCACATTGTCATGTCCACCTGGTGGCAAACCTGTAACAAAGTCCATGTTTATAGTATCCCACGGCACCTCGGGTTCCTCTATTCTTTGCATGAGGCCGAACCTCTTGCCCGTTGCTTTATTTGCCTTCTGGCACCTGTCGCACGTGCTGGTGTAATCCTCTGTCGTTGTACGCCATTGTGGCCACCAGGCTGTCTGCTTGACTCGATCGATTGTTCTGTCCAATGATAAGTGTCCTGACATTGGATCGTCGTGGCAAATTTTCAGGATGTTAGTCTTCATTTTGGGTGATGTGATAACCATCACGCACGAGTGTTTTTCCCTGTGGTACAGGATTCCACTAAGAAGAGTGAAGCGTCCTTCATCGGAAGATTTTTTCCACTTACCTTCTAGAGTGGACGACAGGTTTAGTGTTTTACTGTCCTGTTTAAGTATTTCCAACAGTTTCACTGTGTTGGGGTCCGCGGCGTAGTCCTCTT